CCAATATTGGAGAGAGTCACATTCTTCCCCCCCAATTCGCTGTTGCGAAGAATTTTAAAATCTTCCACTCGCGTGCTTTTATTTTGAAGGCGCACAACAGCGCATTCAGCGGAGCGCTTCCTCCCCCTCCCCCCTCTGAACGGCTCAGAGTAAAGGCAGCAGCAGACGGAGTCAGAAACTCCGTTTGAAGGAGGTAAACTGTCTGTCAGGAATTTTGCTATGAATATCGCTCGGTTATAACATCTTGTTGTCAGTTTACTTTCGTATATAGAACTAAATCTTTTAGGTTAAGCCGTTTTAATTCTGGGATAGTCACATGTCCAAAATTTTACTGCTAACTTTGTTTAAAAGTTAGCTAGTCTAGTTACAATGATTTATTTAATCAGAATGAGACTGAAACAGCAGCGAAATTAGCCTTTTTATTATGTAAAGTGAGCAACATCTGATCATACACGACCACTTAACGTGTAATTATATATTATATTATATTATATTATATTATATTATATTATATTATATTATATTATATTATATATTTAGGAGAACAGCACAGTGCTAGAATGATGTTGAAGAAAGGTGAAGAAGCTCTGGTGAGGTCTTCATTTAGTTTATTGAAATATGTATTAACTGTTTTTAATTTTTAAATAAACTAAACTATTTTATTATGAGAGGAGCAGGTCAGGGAAGGCATAGGAGAGCCAGGTGGAGTTTCAGAGTGTGAAGATATAAAAATGATATTAATTACAATAAAACCAGAAAGGAGAACAGGTGAAGACTGATGTCAGGTTGATTTCTTTCAACGTTACAATATTTTTTTCATTATTTCCACACTTTAAGGGTAATGGTTAGGAGGCAATAAGAAAAGTGCTTGAGGAGAGGTTTAAAAATAAATTAGTGAAAATTTTTGCTACACAGTAAATAGAGTTGAGTTGTATAATGATGTATACATCTGAAAATTAAATTGCTTAAATTCTCATTCTGTATGATAAAAACATACTTTTTATATTTAGTTCACATTCTGACACTGTACATTACTGTAGTGTCTGTTGTAAATACATGAATCCATGCAGGAACATCAGGCTGCAGAGAGTCAGAGGGAGGCAGAACACATATCCATAGATATTTTAGTTAAATATTTGTGGCTGAAAATGACAGGGAAAAAAACATTTAGGCTTTTTGCCTCAGTGTTTTTTATGGCTCATGTTTGGTAAATTACTGAATGCAGGGCTGGAAAGTGAGACTGAGTTAACAGTGAGGAGCTAAGGTGTCTGTTAGACATGAAAAGTATAATTTTTATTTATTTTGTAGATCAAACTGTTGCACTGATATAGAAAGTTGTTCAAGAAGGACAAAACTTGTTTTTTGGATTTTATTTTTGTTACTCAAACTGCTGTATTGAGTTTAAAACAGGCGAGTCCTATTTTATGAGCTGTTTTCTACTTTAGTTTTAGAAAGAGGTAGAAGCAGTTCAATTGCAAGTCAATTTATATCAATGCATTTTGACCAATAATCAAATGTCTTTTGACCATCCATCCATCCATCCATCCATTTTCTTCATCCGGGGTCGGGTCGCGGGGGCAGCAGCTTCAGAAGGGACGCCCAGACTTCCCTTTCCCCAGCCACTTCTTCCAGCTCCTCCGGGGGAACCCCAAGGCGTTCCCAGGCCAGCCGAGAGACAGCGTGTCCTGGGTCTTCCTCGGGGCCTCCTCCCGGTGGGAGGTGCCCGGAACACCTCACCAGGGAGGTGTCCAGGAGGCATCCTTACCAGATGCCCGAGCAACCTCAACTGGCTCCTCTCGATGTGGAGGAGCAGCGGCTCTACTCTGAGTCCCTCCTGGATGACCGAGCTTCTCTCTCTAAGGGAGAGCCCAGCCACCCTGCGGAGGAAACCCATTTCGGCCGCTTGTATCTGTGATCTCGTTCTTTCGGTCATGACCCAAAGCTCATGACCATAGATGAGGGTGGGAACGTAGATCGACCGGTAAATCGAGAGCTTCGCTTTTTGACTCAGCTCTCTCTTCACCACGATGGACCAGTACAGCGGCCGTTTCACGGCAGACGCTGCCCCAATCCGCCTGTCGATCTCCCGCTCCCTTCTTCCCTCATTCGTGAACAAGATCCCCAGATACTTAAACTCCTCCACTTGAGGCAGGACGACCCCCCTGACCCGGAGAAGGCACTCTACCCTTTTCCGGCTCAAGACCATGGCCTCGGATTTGGAGGCACTGAGCCTCATCCCGACCGCTTCGCACTCGGCCGCGAACCACTCCAGCGAGAGTTGCAGATCATGTTCCGATGAAGCCAACAGGACCACATCATCCGCAAAAAGCAGAGATGCGATCCTAAGGCCACCAAAATGGATCCCCTCAACACCTCGGCTGGTCATAAAAGTAATGAACAGAATCGGTGACAAAGGGCAGCCTTGGCGGAGTCCAACTCACACCGGAAACGAGCCCGACTTAACTGCCGGCAATGCGGACCAGACTCTGACACCGGTCGTACAGGGACCTGACACCGGGCCCGTATCAAAGGGCCCGGTACCCCATACTCCCGGAGAATCCCCCACAAGGCCCCCCTAGGGACACGGTCGAACGCCTTCTCCAAGTCCACAAAACACATGTAGACTGGTTGGGGAATTCCCATGCACCCTCCAGAACCCTGCTGAGGGTGTAGAGCTGGTCCAGTGTTCCATGACCAGGGCAAAAACCACACTGCTCTTCCTGAATCCGAGGTTCGACTATCCGATGGACCCTCCTCTCCAGGACCCCTGAATAGACCTTACCAGGGAGGCTTAAGAGTGTGACCCCCTGTAATTGGAGCACACCCTCCGGTCCCCCTTTTTAAACAGGGGGACCACCACCCCGGTCTGCCAATCCAGGGGAACTGCCCCCGATATCCATGCGATACTGCAGAGTCGCGTGAGCCAACACAACCCTACAACATCCAGAGCCTTAAGGAACTCCGGGCGGATCTCATCCACCCCCGGGGCCCTGCCACCGAGGAGCTTTTTGACCACCTCGGCGACCTCGTCCCCAGAGATTGGAGAGCCCAATCCAGAGTCTACAGGCTCAGCTTCCTCAACAGAAGGCATGTTGGTGGGATTGAGGAGGTCTTCGAAGTATTCCACCCACCTGCCCACAACGTCCCGAGTCGAGGTCAGCAGCACACCATCCCCACTATAAACAGTGTTGGTGCTGCACCGCTTCCCCCTCCTGAGACGCCGGATGGTGGCCCAGAATCGCCTCGAAGCCGTGCGGAAGTCTTTCTCCATGGCCTCTCCGAACTCCTCCCACGCCCGGGTTTTTGCCTCAGCGACCACCCGAGCCGCATGCCGCTTCGCCCGCCGGTACCCATCAGCTGTTTCTGGAGTCCCACAGGCCAAAAAAGCCCGATAGGACTCTTTCTTCAGCTTGACAGTATCTCTCACCGAAGGCCTCCACCAACGGGCTCGAGGGTTGCCACCACGACAGGCACCAGCAACCTTGCGGCCGCAGCTCCGATAAGCCGCCTCGGCAATGGAGGCACGGAACATGGTCCATTCAGACTCAATGTCCCCCACCTCCCCCGGAACGTGTTCGAAGTTCTGCCGGAGATGAGAGTTAAAGCTCCGTCTCACAGGGGACTCCGGCAGACATTCCCAGTAGACCCTCACTACACGTTTGGGCCTGCCAGGTCTGACCGGCTTCCTCCCCCACCACCGGAGCCAACTCACCACCAGGTAGTGTTCAGTGGACAGCTCCACACCTCTCTTCACCCGAGTGTCCAAGACATACGGCCGCAGATCCGATGAAACGATCACAAAATCGATCATCGAACTGCGGCCTAGGGTGTCCTGGTGCCAAGTGCACATATGAACACCCTTATGCTTGAACATGGTGTTTGTGATGGACAATCCGTGACGAGCACAGAAGTCCAATAACAGAACACCACTCGAGTTCAGATTGGGGGGGGTCGTTCCTCCCAACCACGCCCCTCCAGGTCTCACCGTCATTGCCCACGTGAGCGTTGAAGTCCCCCAGCAGAACAAGGGAGTCCCCAGTAGGGGCACTCTCCAGTACCCCCTCTAAGGACTCCAAGAAGGGTGGGTAATCTGAACTGCTGTTCAGCCCGTAAGCAAAGACAACAGTCAGAACCCGTCCCCCCACCCGTAGGCGGAGGGAGGCTACCCTCTCGATAACCGGGGCAAACCCCAACGTACAGGCGCCAAGATGGGGGGCAACAAATATGCCCCCTCCTGCCCGGCGCCTCTCACCTTGGGCAACTCCAGAGTGGAAGTACGTCCAGCCCCTCTCAAGGAGACTGGTTCCAGAACCAGAGCCATGCGTCGAGGTGAGGCCCACTATTTCTATCTGGAACCTCTCAGCCTCACACACTAGCTCCGGTTCCTTCCCCACCAGAGAGGTTACGTTCCATGTCCCAAGAGCCAGCTTCTGCAGCCGAGGATCAGACTGCCAGGGTCCCCTCCCTCGGCTGCTGCCCGTAACACATTGCACCCGACCCCTTTGGCCCCTCCAAAAGGTGGTGAGCCTGTTGGAAGGGGGACCCACGTCTCCTCTTCGGGCTGAGCCCGGCCGGGCTCCGTGGGTAAAAGCACGGCCACCAGGCGCTCGCCATCGTGCCCCACCTCCAGGCCTGGCTCCAGAGTGGGGCCCCGGTGACCCGCGTCCGGGCAAGGGAATGCCAGATCCAAGGTTGTAACTCATCATAGGGGTCTTCAGGCTGCACTTTGTTTGGTTCCTCACCTAGGACCTGTCTGCCTTGGGTGACCCTACTAGGGGCATAAAGCCCCAGACAGGGTAGCTCCTAGGATCATTGGGACACTCAAACCCCTCCACCACTTTAAGGTGGCAGCCCAAGGAGGGGCTTTTGACCAATAAAATATATAAAAATCTGTTAGCCTGTGTATGCTACCAGAGTATTTAGTTTGCTAGTTGTGAGGCAAATGCTAAAGTGAGTGTTCATCCTGGAATGACAGTCATTATACTATGCATAACTTTAATCTGATTATTGGATTGTAAATAGTAACATGTTAGAATACATGTTACTGAAACAAGGATCAGATTAGAGTAACGCATTACTGATGTGTTGATGGCATAATTGTTTGATATTACTGCTCAAGCTATTTACTGATCTATCAGGTTTCCGATATGCGTCCCCCCCAATGACAGACTCATTCCTACACCCTTGCATGTATCGGCTAATCATGATCAGTGATGGCAGTTACTTTGAAAAAGTAATTAATCGGATTACTCCTTGAAAAAGTAACTTAGATTACTGATTACTTGATGTGGAAAGTAACTAAGTTACATTAAAAGTAACTATTTTAGTTACCTTCAGCAGCTGCTAAAGGTAATACTCCACCACCTGTGAAAATTACATTGATCTTTGCCAATACTTAATTGCAAGTTATTTTATAATGGTAACATCAACAATGTGTCTCCACTTATAAGGTTGAACTGAATGAGAGATTGTTTAATGGTTACAACAGTACAAAGAAAGCCTTTGGTAATTGGTGCATGTTTTTGTGTGGTCCACTATTGTCTGGACAACTCTAAGAAGGATTTTAGAGTCTCCCTCTCTGCGCCAGCCTCCAGATTGTGAGTTATGACCCTGCGTTTGGTGTCAGAGCGTACCACACTGCGCTCCTCCTCCACAACTCAGATGGCTGCACAGATTTGTGACATTTGTCTTAATATTAATAATTATAATGGTGTTTAGTTGTACAACTTTCATTCATTGCACAACATGTTCATTCAAGGCTGTTTTCACGTTTGTTTGTGCTGTTCATATTAGTCTCGATGTTTACAGTTTTCTGGAGTGCAACGCGAAGCTCAATGTAATTCACAGCAAATTTATTAACTTGACATTAACAAAGACACAGTGGGACAGATCATCCGGGAAATGATGGACAGGGAGAGCCTGACTAAAACTAACTGGATGTCAGACAAATTCTGGGGTTTATGTCTGTTTATTTCCAAGCCTAAATAAGAAATTTCACCTTCACAAACAAGCCCAAAAGCGCAGCCCGCGATTCAGTCAATTTGCTAGAGACTTTAGAAAAAACAAGCTCAAAGCTGCTTCTAATAATCGGGGTTGGCAACAGAAACTAGAAATAATTCCTGTTTTTCCAGCAACAAATGTGCATCTCTCGCATAGAAACGGCGGTCACTCCACAAGACGAGCACAGGAAATAAAATTAAATTACAAAAGAAAATAGTAACGCGCAGTAACGCAAAGTGATTTCGATAAGTAACTGTAGTCTAACTACTGGATTTGAAATAGTAACGCGTTAGATTACACGTTACTGAAAAAAAGTGTTCCGACATCAGTAACTTCTAAGTAACGCGTTACTGTTATCACTGATCAGATCCCCCAAAATTAAGGAAATCAGCACCCAGAAATCAACTGGTTGATAAATCAGTTGGCCAATAAATATATCCTATATTATATATAATGTAAATAGCACTGCCAGCAATGCAATAAGGAGAATAGCAGGTGTGTGAATGGTCTAATGATCGGACTGCTAATTGCAGTCACTCCACATTGTTAGCAGAACTAGAGGGCCCCAAAACCAAATTTCGCTTAGGGCCCCATGGAGGCTTGGGCCGCCCCTGGATTACAGGGAATATGTGATATAGAGGTAGGGCGTGTCCTGTCTCGTAATTGTCAATAAAAGTCCACAAGTCCCAAAAATAACCACAAACACTATGTGCTTTTTGTGAAATGATTCTTGGGCATATCGGTTTATTAAAACTGGCTATGCAAAGCAGTAAGGAGTCATTTATAACATACAAACAAAATGTAGGCAGTGAATAAACCCCAAAATATCAGACTTTCATTATGTTCAAGGTGAATTTAGAGAAAGACTGATGGACAGATGGATGGATGGACAGACGGACGGACGGATAACCTGATTCACAACCAGATGGATTAGTGGCCTGATGGAAAATTGGACAGGTGAAAAAACACATGAAACAAACTGAAAGTCTAGACATTTTTTGTCATATTTCTTCAGACCTGTAAAATACATCTAAAGATCACAGATTTTTCTAGACCATATAAGAATCTTCCGAGTTATTCTCTACATTTGAAGTGAATGATAGTAGCATTGTATTCACAGCCTCTTGGACTAAATGTCTCAATTCAGCCTGTGACCTGACACACTCTCATTGCAGAAAGCTAACGTCTTCATTTCAGTGAGGTAACAAGTTCTGTGGTGTTTGTGGTTTCAAGGTGGACCAAAACTCAGAGCAGACACACACAATTTGTTAAAGCACATAAAAGATCAACAGACAGAGAGGGAGAGAGAGACCAGATGAAAATGAAAGAAAAATCAGAGGCACACTGATCATTAAATCAGCCTCTGAGCTGCAGTGTGGAGGCTGCAGATAGAAGAGCCAAATCAAACAGAATGCATTTCTGATCAGAGATAAAACTTTCCATATTAAGAGCTGAGTGACAGGCTCATCGCAGACTGAAGATCAAGGCCATGTTCAAAGGCAGAGCTGGTTCAGGGGCTGTTAATATTCATATTAANATGAAAAAAGCAAAAAGTGCAATTTGGGGGAAATCAAGATATACAGACCACCAAATTTTCATAATGTGCATTTGTACTGCGAAGGCTCACTGTGTCAAAGTCTGGCTAACACCTACAAAAAACATCTGCAACATTTATATGTTAAACAAACTAAGAAAAAAAAAAGAAAAGAAAAACAATCCGGATTCTGCACAATGAAGGAAAGAGGGAATACAGAGTTTTACTAATAAAAGACTGAAAATGCTTGATTAGATCAAATTCAAATGTTCAACATTTATCTTTAGTGGAAGACACTTTTCACTTCCAGCGAATTTCAAAATGTGTCGTGGGAGAAATATTATTTAAGTCTATGCTACTAATGCCTGGAAAAGGTCAAAAGGCATCAGAAATGCCCCGAGACTGATTTCCAGTCATCCTGCTGATGGACTCTGATGAGCAGGCAAGCGATGGTAAAAATGTGGGAAATTAGAAAACACAGTATGGGATAGCTGTATTATTTAGGACAGGGGCGCTCCAGTCCAGTCCAGTCCAGTCCTCTGCCATCCTGCCACTTTCAGATGCTTCTCTTCTGCAGCACCAGAATCGAATGATCCGCTCCTTACCAGGCCTCAGCAGAGCTCAATGTCAGCCGGAGAGGGAATTCAGGAATTTCATTTGGGTGCATTGGAGCACGGATGGATATAAAAGTTGCAGAGTGGTAGCTCTGGACCACTGGAGTTGGACTCCCCTGATTTAGGATGTAAATAACACTGTGAGGGTGATTTAATCAAAGGGAGGAAAGGAATTGTACCTTTTTTTTTTCTCGACTCGAACGATTTCATTCGTATGCCCGACGAGCTCCGTTCTTGTTTGTCTTTTTAGCTTACGTTTGAAGCGATCGATAAACCAAGCTAAACTAAAGGCATACCCTCAGCATTCTCAAACAGCTAATCTACTTGCCTGCTGATGAAGAAAGAAGCCTGTTCAGAGGGTTTGGCCTCCTCTAAAGCTCCCTCCTTATTTCCCGACAGCGCCGTTCGTCTTTCCAGCTGCCTTTTTGCCAGTCAGCTCTCTGCCTCACTCCACTCCCCCACTTCTCCCGCCGTTGAGAAGACGCCAGGCCACGACTGTCCTGCATGCCATGTCTACTGGATGTGTGAACAAAGCTGGGAGAAAGCGAGAGAGAGGGAGAGAGGTGAAAACGGCGACTCTTAAGTGAGTCAGACCCAGTCGCGCGGGACGGCTGGAAATGTCTTCCCCTTTGATTCCCCGGGGAACAGAGACAGAAAACAAATGGAGTCTGACTCCCTCATTTTCTCCAAGGTCCCAGAAGTTGACCCGCAGCCACACGTCCCGGAGCGCTGACATTCGCCGAGCCACCAGTAAGGTCTGTCAACCTGACACAACGGAATAAGAAACCCTCCCAAAAGCCCTCCGCTGCTCCGCCGCCGCCCCATCGTCCCTCATCTCCATTCCAACACAGTACGCAGTGCTCAGTGGCACAGCTGACAGCCAAGTTGGCCTGCTCACACAGCGATGACCCAGTGAGTAATTGGTCGATAGAAGTCGGCATGCATCGGCCTATGTGGCTTCGCGGGCGGGCGCTGACTCACTGTGTGTTCGGCCTCAGTCGTCATACCGCGGATATCAACGCCCACTCCGAGGAAAACAACGAATCCCGAGGGATGAGATGATCATTAGCGGAGAAGTAAAAATATCCCGTGAATAATCACTGCAACTACAACGCGTTTATCTCGCCGCTGAGGGGATATGTGTACACAACAAGAACATTATCTGTCTGCGGTGTGGCTTGCCAGCGAGCTCGGCCCATTTGGCCGCGAGCAGACAGAAGAGTTTGGCAACTGGTTATCACATCACTGCATCTCGACAACTGGATGGCCGCTGATTGTGGCCGATGAACAAAGGATTCCCGCTTTAACACATTAGACCATTAAGTCGAAAATCCGTGTCGTGTCAGTAATCCAGACACTAAGGAGGGTGGACAGGAGGAGAGCGAGCAGCTACAGGTAGGACTTGGCTCCATTTTGTGCAAAGTAGCGCGTCGCATCTGCAAGTGCGCAGGAGCACAATTCATTACACGCTGGCGTTCGCCGTGTCGTCTCTGCAGCGCGATGCAACAACACCTGCTGTTCCCCGCTGATTATATAAGCAGGGTTATGTGGAGTGAGAAGCAGTGTGAGACGCATTGTCAATGCAAAGAAACCTGACATCCAAACACAAGATGGCATCTCATCAAAGCCGTTTCTTGATTTGCATAGAGAAGCCTTTGACTTGGCACATGCCTGGTGATTGGGATAAACTCGTCGTGGACGGTAAGGCATGCGCATGTTTACGGGCGAGGCAAGGAAACAAGAGAGTAGAAATGTAAATGGTTCTTTTCGTGTCATACAATACTCACTCGTCTGCACACACCAGATTTTTTTTCAAGGTTTTTTGTGGCACAAACGGCTGTTACTGTCTGTATTCAGACAGAAGAGGGGAAGAAAAGCAGCAGAGGTGCCGAGGCCGGGAATCGAACAGCCGCTCCGGCGTCTAAAGGCCTGTCTTCGCTCCATCTCCTCACCGTCCCATGATATTTTTCTACAGTAAAATTCTGCTTATGATTTTGTCACGATTTTAAAGGAATTTAAAAAAACTACTTTTAACAGAGCCATGAACATTTCTGATGGATTATTTCTTATTTTCGAGTGGCTTTGACTGGACTTCTTAGGCTTGTCTCACAAAAGAAGAGGAAACAGGTGGATGCACTCTAAAGTTTGCTGGGTCCTTCATTATTCATTGAGTGAAATATCTGCTGGGTATCTGGAAGACCTCTGCTTTCATTTCAGTTAGTTTTATTTTACATGGTTTTCGTTTGCTTTCTCATTTTCTTTTGTCCACGCACATACGCACGGACACACACATACACGCACACACACACCTATGTTTGGTCTCCTTATGTCCTCTCAGTGTAGATGGGTTTCTCTGTAAGGCTTGTTAGAGGTAAAGGTCTCCTCTAAGGGTCTCTTGATGCTGTAGCTTTTGTCACATTGAATTTTTTTATTTTTTCCCCCCACATATTCCGCTTTGGGCTTCTCATATATCTGAACATAGGAGCACCTTTTATGTTCAATTTATCCAATAACATCAGTTTTTTTCACACACCACTACCTGCCTGTCAGCTTTTGTTTGAGTCCTTCACTTTTGCCACTGGGACACAAAGTCAATGTACAAGTTTTTTTTTGTTTGTTTGTTTTCAAAGAAGTATCTTGATTCCCTCTATTACATTACCTTTGAGCGTTTTCACATTTCTGTCTCATAACAGCCACAAACCTCAACGTGTTTCTCTGAGATTCAATGTGACATAATGCCCACACAAAGTAGGGGACGAGAAGACAGCCCTAAATAAAAATCCAGTGTGTTAAATTGAAGTCAGAAATCACCTGGTTTGTCCACGTAATGGAGTCTACTCGTGTGTTGTTGAGTTTCGTTACAAACACACCTAACCTGTGACAGCCGTACAAGTTTGAGAGAGAAAATTTGAGATGAAGACCCAGGAGCCAGCAAAATGGGGAACGGAGCTGACGAGAGTTTCAAAGCGGTGATACATTGTAAAGCAATGTACTGAGTTTTCACCACACAACTCTCACAACCATCAGTCATTACGTTGCAAATCTGCTCTCCACTAAAGACCCGCTTGTTGACGTGAAACCTGTTAGCGGTTTGTGACTGCTGCTAGTTGACATCAAAAACAACTCTGGTGTCAGTCGACACTACAGCCATAAATCAAGTGGCCAGTCAGAGTTTTATATGTTGTCCCAACCTTTTCAACAGGAATCTCTGCTGTTCATTTATGGTTTTTGATTAAAACTTTAAAATTTTTAATCAAAAACCAAAGAGGAAATGACCACAATGTTGTACAAAGCTGGTAAAGATATATCCCAAAAGAGCTGTGAGTGCAGGGAAAAGTTGTTTTAGGAAATATTTAGTCAGGCAGGATACAAGCTGACAGGACTGGATAAACTGAGCTTTGAATCACGGAAACCTTCATATTTCATGTCGCCATGACGGGATAATTTTGCCAAAAAGAGCAGCAGTGAATTATTTTTTTCTTTTTTTTAATATAGAAAAGTGCAACTTAGACCCAGTAAAGCCTTCTTTGGATAATTCTTGGTGTGCGGAGAACATTACCGAGAACAAGAACCGAGAAGGTCTGGATAGATGCAACATTCATGAGCTGCACTGTGACTACAAGCAGATAAAAGCAGAATATTTCCTGTTAATTTAGCAGCAGCAGCAGCAGCATTCAGTTCAGATCTGTGCTGCACTTTCAGAGCAGTATTTTTATTCAGTTTTAATCATTCAAATGCTTAACCTGAGCATGAGTAAAAATCAAACAAATCCACAACAATAAAATGACCTTTAAAAAACTCCTACAAACAACATTTTCATTTTCATTTAGACGGTGCAAACACATTCTCAAGTCTGAGTTATCGATTACCTCCAGTGACTTACATGCACTCATCCGCTGCAAATTTTGAAAACCTGCAGTGTAATTTTTGACAGTGCTTCACTCTCGGTAATCAGCAATAAAAACTTTTTACTGCCATCCTAAATAGCTCTCCCTCCATAGTGCAGATTGTGGAGGGAGCAGCAGCATCCCATGACGGTCCTACATCATCCACCCACAGCAGCTCCGTGCTTGGGGCCATGACTGGGCATTGCTCTCTCTAAACTTGCCAGGATGCATCTGTTTGGCCTGGATGAGTCCTCAGACTGCAGGAAAGCCTTCACTGGACCCCAAACTGCCGTACATATCTGAACATTGACTCAGTTCATTTCAGCCACTTCTATTCAGGATTCAGTATCTCATGGCCGTAAAGAGGAGGGTCAGAACATGGACAGATTGAGAGCGTTGCCTTTTAGCTCGGCTCTTTGGGAGACCAGGGCAACTCCCACACCACTGCAGGCCGAGCAGCAACCTATAGATCCGTCTCTCAATTCTCGCTGCTTTACTTTGAAGGTGTTTTCACATCTGACAGTCTGGTAGAATCGCTTTGATTGGAGATTAAAAGTTGCAACATTTGTTCCATTTTCAGCTGCTGCAATTCGCTTTCACACCGCACTGTGTCAAACGAACCAAACCCTTTGAAAATCCTGTTCCCCTCCTCACCTGTGGTGGCGCTGCACCAAGAACCGCTGAAGGAAACGATGCAAAAACTTCTCAAGAAGATAATAGCTGCGTTGTCGATATTCTGCTAAAGAAGTTAATGAGTTTGTTCACGTCATGAGTCGCTAAAAAACATGCCGCGCCATGATCCTCCAACTACTTCCTGTTGTCGTCTTCTTCATGGTTTTCGCCAGTGGCAACATCCGTGGGATCATGCGACAAAAGTCTTTCCGTTGTTAATCTCTCTTCAGCAGAAACAGTCAATATAACTTCACACCATCAAACTGCCTTCAAGCTAACGGTTGCAGCAGGTAAACATAGTTTTGTTTCTCACTAAATTCATATCGTCCTGCTACGTTATTTTGACGTAACGTCCAACAAACTGATAAACCATGGCGCACATGGTTCAGCTGGGTAAATACCATTAAAGGGAAAGATCTCAAAATGTCATAGCCATAAATTACATTACAGCAGCTAAAGTTTTGGGCAGCTGAGTCCTCCTTCTGCTTTATATTTTCATTCCATATGCGAGAAGAAGATCCTCTTGGAAAAGACTGTGGAGGTCTGGGGAACGGCGCTCGAACAGCACCAACACGCCTCATTGAACCAGAAAAACACATGGATTTTTCACAATGGTGAGGACATCGGGAAAACAGTTAAACCATGAATCAAGATCATATAAAGATCCTTAAAGCCTGTTGCTATTTCTGGTAGCATTCTCATTACAAATCAACTCACTGATTCCTTTTTTCTTCTTCTAACACTTAGATTTACACCAGGGAGAGAATATCTCAGACGGCAAGCCGAGTGGTTTTAACACAGTGGTGGAGCAGGCAGAAAAGAAAAGAAAAAGAAATGTAGTTAGATGAAGGCAATTTCTTTTACTCTCCCTTTGTTTATTAACCCAGCAGGTCACGGATTTGAGAATTTTATTTTCTGAACCCCACATCCGCAATCTTTTTCTGGCAAATTTGAACAACAATCAAACAGCCACTGAGCTAATTGTGAGCGATCTGAAAACGGCTTGTTACCAGGAGTTAAATTGGGATTTGTTTGGTATTGGTTGCGTGTGTGTGTGTGCGTGTGTGTGTGGGTGTGCTTGTGTGTTGTGTGATCTGAGGTTTTCACTGTTTACTGTGATAATTAGTTTAAATTATTTTTGAGACGCGCCATCCAACTATCTGAAAACAAACCAGTTCAGAAGAGGTCTCTCTTCAAAGCGAGAATTTATTTTCTCTGAGAAATTTCACCTATGAAAATACAGGTCAAATAAAATGAAATAAATCACTGTCATTATTAAACAGATGTGAAAACTTAGACAAAAAAAAAAAAAAAAAATTATGAAAACCATCTATCCTTTATCCGCAAGTAGTCACGACGTTTATATTCATGCTATCAATCCTGATGTAGTCGGTGCCCAGAATGCAATATTCTATATCTATAAAATCGAAAGCCTGAATGAAAGATCCGTTCACAAGAATCACTTCCTGAAGAGCGACCATACATGTAGGTGGGCAATAACAAATGTGACCCTAGAGAGGGCAGCATGTTATGTTGTAACACATGTTTGTCATTGGGTGCCAGTAGCTGTGTTTCTATTACAAATGTGCGCAAAACTATGTCAATGTTCCGCTAATGGCTAAAGAAATATAATTTTGTATTTGTAGTGTTTCCAATAAATAAGAAATTCAAATCACACGTACGTTTGTTCACATGACAAGTCACTGAGAAACATGCCACGCCATCATCCTCCAGCTACTTCCTGGCCCTTCTTCTTTGTTGTTTGCGCCAGCGGCGACATCGTTGTTGATCGTGTGTTATGGTGGAAAAAAATTTTTAAAAAGTACTTCCCTGGCAGTTTTGTGAAATAAACCAATTTCGATATGGTCATGAAAGCGGCAAAAAGGTTTCATCAAAAGAAAAAAAAAATTTTTAATTCCTTTGTTCCCATTAAGCAAATTTATTTTCAAAATGTCAGATTGTGCAAATACACAATCAGTGGAAACGCCGCGGTTTGATTTCTTATACTTTTGAAATTATTTGATGAATTATTGATACGGCTTTCTTTTGAGCTTCTTTCTTTAAAAGAAGCTGAAATATATTTTACATACATTGTTTGTACAGTTTCATACAGACATTCTCAATTATATTTTTCTGCATCTGAATCTGTCAAGGTCCCTGACAAGAGACCCTTTCTTCTGCCACCAGACTACAACAAAAAGGGGATGATGTTGCAGGGTTAGAGCTCAGCTAATTTGAAACATCTAAAAACCTTTGTTCCCTGAGATGTAATTAGATCTTAAATAGCTTTGGCTGATAAATTAAATCTCTTTACTGTTTTGTCCCTTACCAAACCTGATTAATCATTTTTTTAATCAGATCGAGGCGGAGAGGTGCCTTGACGTTTCATTTAACCGAAGCTGAAGGCTCAGACACTCACGCCTTCGTCTGATTAGTCTTGCTCAACACCCGAGACCACAGGGCACAAAAGAAAAAGAAAAAAA